AATGGGGGCTTTCGGTGTACAGTTGACGTTCACTTCCGAGAATCCGCCCCCCCCCCCCCCCCGCCCCTTCCCCCACCCGTGCCCTTCCGTGTGAGGACAATGGCATTTGGCCAATGGCTGACCATGGCACACCATCGTTTCCTTCCCAGAGAGACCACCACCTCACCCAGGGCGCACCGAGCCATGCGTCGGCGAGGAAGGCGAGGCTCTACTCAGAGGAGTTCTTCACAGGAGACTAATGATCTGGGCCCACTTCCAGACGGTATGTAGTGTATAGGATGAGCCAGTACGAGGGTGGAAGGGCGTGGTTGCTGGTGTGTGTGTGTGGGGGGGGTTTGGGGGTTTGGGGGTTTGGCCCATGTTCGGTCGTCCGTACACTGGTTGCGTTCGTTCCAGCCACACGTGCGAGTGGTTTGTCAGCCGAAAGCAGTGGCTGTGGGTGGGAAGAGGGGGGTGGGTGGGTGGGAGGGGGGGGGGGGGGGGGGAAGTTGTGGAGGTGGTCATTACTCATGTGTGTATGTCTGTGTGCGTGTGTGTGTGTGTGTGTGTGTGTGTGTGTGTGTGTGTGTGTTAGGCTGGGAGGAGCGGGTCGACTCGCGCGGACGCAAGTACTATGTCGACCATACGACGCGGAGCACGTCGTGGAACGACCCGCGGCTGACCAGTGCTGGCGGTGGAGGGTCTAGCAGCGCAGCTGGGGGAGGAGGGAGGAGCGCCAGTGCAAGCTCTGGTGGGAGGGCTCAGGCAGAGTCGGAGGAGGCTGCGCGACAGCAGTATCAGTCGCGTGTGGCGCTGGTGGCGTCGCCGACGGCGTCGACTTCGACGACAGCGACGGCGGCGGACGGGACGGCTGCCGGAGAAGAGCCGCTGCCAGACGGATGGGAGATGCGGCGGGCGGCCAACGGGCGAGTGTACTTTGTGAATCACAACGACCGCACAACATCCTGGGAGGATCCGCGGACGAGTAGCCGCGGCGACGGTGGCGGCGGCGGCGGTGGCGGCAGCGGCGGTGGCGGTGCGGCGGCGGGTGCAGCGACAGCGGCGGCGTCGGCGTCTGATTCCGATGACGACGAAGACGACGACGATGCTGGTGATTTGCCCGACGGATGGGAGGAGCGAGTCGACGGGCGCGGGCGGGTGTACTACGTCAATCACAACCAGCGGACGACGCAGTGGGAGCGGCCGACGAACGGCAGTCGTTCGCGGCGATCGCGGCGGTCACGGCGACGGGAGCGACGCGAGCGGCGGTCGCGGCGAAGCGGGAGCCGGGCGAGCACGACTGAAGGGCCCAGCGCGTCGGCAGTCGCCGGCTCGACCACACCTGGGCTGCCGTCGGGATGGGAGCGGCGGACGGATGCGCGTGGGCGGACGTACTACGTTGACCACAACACGCGGACGACGCATTGGGAGGCACCGGCGCCGGTCACGGTGCCGGGAGCGAGTAGCGGCGGAGGCGAGCTTGGCCCGCTGCCGGCCGGGTGGGAGCAGCGGCTGACTGCGGACGGGCGGACGTTTTTTGTGGACCACAACACGCGGACGACGACATGGGAGGACCCGCGGCTTGTGGGCGGGGTGGCGACGGGCGGAACGATCATTGTGCCCGAGTACCAGCGTAACTTTACCGCCAAGGTGCAGTACTTTCATGCGCACCACCCGCTGGCGCAAGGCGAGTGCATTGTCAAGGTTGCCCGCGAGACGATGTTCCAAGACACAGTGCCTGCCATCATGAGCAAGGATCCATCGGAGCTCCAGAAGCGGTACCGTGTTGTGCTCCGCGGCGAAGAGGGCTTGGACTACGGCGGCGTCTCCCGCGAGTACTTTTTCCAGATCTCGCGCGAGATGTTCAACCCGTACTACGGGCTCTTTGAGTACTCTGCCACGGACAACTACACGCTGCAGATCAACCGGTTCTCCAACATCAACGAGGACCACTTGCTGTACTTCCGAGCCATCGGGCGGATCATGGCGGTGGCAGTCCTGAACCACAAGTTTGTGGACGCCTTCTTTGTCCGCCACTTTTACAAGGCCATGCTCGGCAAGCCGGCCGACGTCGAAGACCTCGAGCTTGTTGACGCCGAGTACGCGCGGTCGCTCAAGTGGATGCTCGAGAATGACATCACGGACATCATGTACGAGACTTTCACCGACTCACTGGAGGAGTTTGGCGCGACGCGCGAGGTGGAGCTCAAGCCCGGCGGCGCTGACATAGACGTGACCAACGAGAACAAGGCCGAGTACGTGAGGCTGGTTGTCAACTTCCGGCTCGTCGACTCGGTTAAGGACCAGATGAACGCGTTCCTCACCGGGTTCGGCGAGGTCATCCCCATCGACGCGCTGGGCATCTTTGACGAGAAGGAGCTCGAGCTGTTCATTGGCGGCATTAACGACATCGATGTCGACGACTGGGAGCGCAACACCATCTACCGCTCGCCCTTCCATCGCCGCCACAAGGTCATCAAATGGTTCTGGAAAGCTGTCCGCTCGTTCTCTGCCGAGCAGCGCTCGCGGCTCCTCCAGTTTGTCACCGGCACGTCCAAGCTCCCGCTCGGCGGGTTTGCCGAGCTCTACGGCTCCAACGGCAAGCAGCAGTTTACCATTGACAAGAAGAATGGCTCGCCCAACTCGCTCCCGGCCGCCCACACTTGCTTCCTCCGCATCGATCTGCCGGTCTACCGCTCGTACGACCAACTCCGCGAGAAGCTGCTTTACGCTGTTGAGGAGGGTCAAGGCGCATTCATGATGGAGTAGTGAGCGTTGCCCACCAACGGAAGATATCTTGAACCGAAGATAGCATCTGCAGAGTGGCGGGAGTGGCGGAGTGGCGGAGTGGTGGGTGCGGTGCGGGTGCGGGTGCGGGTGCGGATGCGGGTGAGGAGCTGCAGCCGTTGGCACCTGACGCTGGCGTCAAGGTGGGGAGCAGCGGTGCGATGCAGGCAAGTGGAAGCAGGGGGTCGGGCCATAGCTCGGAGGACAGACCCCGAGTGGAGCATGGAGTGCCTAGTCCGTTGCTGCTAACGCGGACTCGGGGAGGCGGCGAAGCAGGCACGGCCGATCTCGACGGTGTCCGCCACCTGGCCGGCTCGAGGTCAATCGCGCGCGACACGACGATCTCACGGTATTATGGGACGCACACACTGACGCCAGACGGGCCTCCTCCAGTCAACTCTGGAGAGTGGGCACCAACGGTGGCGACGGTGGCGGATGTGACGGCCGGCCACGGAGCGGGCGGCCCGTCGAGGGCGCGGGCGGTCATGCTCGCAACGTACGGGACGACAACAACAGAGGATCCGCGGGTGACCACTGCGCTGCCGTTTGATCGCTACGCTCGCGACTCGATTGCATCGCGGGCGTACGCCGGCTCGCCGGCGGTGCGCGCTGCCGACCGGGCGCGGCGGCAGAGAGTGGCGGACGCGGCAGGTCAGCTGCCGACGTCGGCGTCGACGAGGCGGCCGACCGGAGTGAGCCTCGGCCCCGAGGCTGCAGCAGAGAGCGTGAGGAGCGAGTCGCGGGGCGGCATCGCGCGCTCGGTGATGCGCAGCCAGTATTATGGGACAGATCCGCTGTCGCAGCTCGGAGGGAGTGGTGGCGCGCGGTGGGCGCGCGACTCGATCGCCGCCCAGCCAGTGCCGGTGTTGGGAAGCGGCGCGTCAGAGGTCGGCGCGGCGCGGCGGCGGACGCTGGAGCAGTACTACGGCACACACACGACTGAGATGCGCGAGCATGAGCAGCTTTAAGGCGTATACTTATCCCTTAGCGGTACGGTCGTTCGGACGCGTTGTCGCGCGTCTCAAAGTGAATAACTCGATAATGATTGACTTCCCGGTGAGAGGCGCGCCTGCACGTGAAGGCGGTCGACACGTAGACGCCCACCTGAAGGATGCCCAAGTTGACGTCGCTGTGACGGACGCCCGGAAGCACGCGCGAGGCGCGCGAGGTGCCGTACGGCACCGATCCGGAAGAGCGGCGGGCGCGGACGGTGCGGAGCTTGTCGTTGACGACCCGAGGACCGGGAAGGAGAGCATGACAGAGGTGAACACCGCGGCCGGACGGGAGAGCACGAAGACGTTGTGGATCTTCTTGCGACGGACGAGCTTGCCGGTCGGCGTGGCCGCGCAAGTGGTGGCACGCCATTCTTGTACTGGATTCTGGACGCCGCGCTCATCAGCGCGTACGCGCTCTACGCTGATGCGAGCCCATACCCCGCCATGACTCGCCTGGCTTTTCTCTACGACATCATCGTCGCCCTCTTGCCGCCAGCGCCGACGCCATCAGCGCCGCGCCATCGCTCAAGCGGAAGCGTCCCCCTGAAGCGGCTGCTCGTCATCACCACTTTCCCAACAAGTTGCTCTGCGACGCGACTGCCTCGCCTGCAGGAAGCTTCATGGAAAGCGATCGATCGTGGCCGCGGACCTTTTGCGCCGCGTGCGGCGTCCATGTCTGCGTCGCCAACTGTTTTCTGTTGTGGTTCACGTGTGGCCAAAGCAGCCATTAACACAACTACTCTTTTACCGCTATTGATGGACGTTGCGCCGTATGCGGAGCGTCGCGGAGCGCGGCTTGCGCGATGGACAGATTTGTCCATTCCATACCGTAAAGGATTAAACGAGGCCGGTGGCAATGAGGCGGTCGCGCATGGCCGGGTAAATGACCTTAGACTCGGTGCCCGAGACGGAAATGACCTTGTCGAGAGAGGCGTAGTAGTCGAGGACCGGCTGCTTCTGGTCGTTGAAGATCTCGAGGCGGTGGAGGATAACCTCCTCCTTGTCGTCGTCGCGCTGGACAAGCGGCTCGCCGGTCTCATCGTCCTTGCCCTCCTCCTTGGGCGGGTTGAACGAGACGTGGTAAATGCGGCCCGAGCCCGGATGGACCCGCCGGCCCGAGAGGCGGCGGACAATCTCCTCGGCAGGCACATCGACCTCGAGAACAACGTCGACCGGGCGGATGGCGTCAAGCATCTTGGCCTGCACCAGCGTCCGCGGGAAGCCGTCGAGAATGATTCGCGGCGCGGCAGCAACATCGATCTTGGGCTTGACTGTGCAGCAGTATGGCAGGGGGTGAGTGGAGGGGGAGGGGGAGGCGGTGGGGAGGGAGAGGGGGAGATCGTTGCGAGGCGGCGTACGGAGGTCGAGAATGATGTCGTCACCGACGAGATTGCCGGCATCGATGGTGGCTTTGATGGCCTTGCCCTTGTCGGTGGCAAGGAAATCAGCATCAGAGAGGGCATCCCGAATGAGATCGCCCGTGGAGAGATGACCAAGAGCAAAGTCACGGACAAGCCACTCGGCAATGGTGCCCTTGCCCGAGCCGGGTGCTCCAAACATAGCCACCGCCACCGGAGCTGCACTGCCCGTCGACAGCCTTCGTCCAGCCACAGAGGCAAGCGTCCGCACAGCAGTAGCAAACATATGTGTAAGTGGTGAGTGTGTAGATGGGAGGTCGCAACGAGGAGTGGGTGGGCCAGAGGTGGTCATGGTACCGTGCTGCCGCCCACCACCATTCCCTGCCGCCGGCCGAGTCGTTTGCCAGACCAAACGAGCGAACGATGATGAAACGAACGGACGAACGATGAAGCGAACGAACGGACGAACGATGATGAAACGAACGGACGAACGATGAAGCGAACGAACGGACGAACGATGAAACGAACGAACGAACGAACGATGAAACGAACGAACGGACGAACGATGAAACGAACGAACGAACGATGAAGCGAACGAACGGACGAACGATGAAACGAACGAACGAACGATGAAGCGAACGAACGGACGAACGATGAAACGAACGAACGAACGAACGGACGAATGAACGAACGAAACGAATGAACGATTGAACGCCTCCTGAGGGACCAGCCGGCAGCAGACAATGACCTCCCCGCGCCCCCCCTCCCCTCCCCTTCCCCCTCTCTCCCTCGTCACTCACCTCTCACATCAACACCCCCCCTCCCTTCAAGCAAGAGTCAACATCTTCACCGTCCACACGGCTGGGTAGGGCAAAGAGACAGAGATGGCGTCGTCGGGCGGACGGACATTGCGGGTGACGGCCACAGGCTCCAACATGACCACCGGTGGCGGCGGGAGGTCGGGCAGAGACGGAAGCAGAGGTGATGGAGGTGGTGAAGGCGGAGGACTGGGTGGTGTTGGAGGCTCAGAGCGGAAGAATAAGGGTGCGACGTGGCTGGAGGCATGGACAGACGCCATTGCCGGCTTGCGGACACGACCGGCTTGCATGGCTCTCGGCGACATCCATGGGAACGGCGAGTCTTCGTTGGTGGTCGGCGACTTCAGCAAAGTCCTCAAGGTCTTTACTGGCAAGGCTCTGGCGCACGAGTCGCGCTTGCTGGATCCTCCCACGGCGGTGGTCACGTTTCACATCGGTGCGTCTGGCGGTGGCGGCGGTGGCGGCGGCGGCGGTGGGGCCGGTGCCGGCAGCTCGGCGGTTGGTGCGGCGTCGGCGGCGGTGGCAGTGGCATCAGGCGACGCGGTCTACGTCTTTCGCAACATGCACCCGTACTACAAGTTTTCGCTCCCACCGGCACCGCTTGTGCCCGGCGAGACCGAGCTGTGGGCCAAGATGCGGCAGCAGCCGCCGACGGTCGACCTGGCCGACGCTGCGGCCGAGCTGCGCGCGCTGTACGACACTGCGCCACACGACGCGCTCTCGTTCCTCTCTCTCGACGTGATGCAGTGCAGTTCGCCGAGCGAGATCGAGGCGTACATCGACAAGACGCGCGGGGTGGCGCTGGAGCGACCGGGCGTTATCACGTGCATGGCGACGCTCCATCGCAACTTTGACGACGACGCCGACAAGACCATGCTGGTCATCGGGACCGAGGACCGGCGGGCGCTCATTCTCGACGCCGCGTCGCGTGGACTAGAGATTGCTGTGCAGGTCTCGCTGCCGTCGGCGCCGGCGTTTGTGGCGGTGGCCGGCCAGTACTCGGTCGGCTACCGCATCACCTTTGCCTGCCGCAACGGACGGGTGTACACGCTCAAGGCTGGGCGCTGCAGGGCAAGGCCATCGAGCTCGAGTCGCTCCCGCTCGGTCTAGAGATGGATGGCCTCAAGACGGTGCTGGTGGGACGGCCGACGCCAAGGTCCACGCCTTTCACGCCAAAGGCAAGAAGCGGTACTCGCTCCACTTTGACTCGCCCATTCTCTCGATGGCCAAGATCTTTCTCAAGATGCGCAATCTGACCTCGCTGGCAGTGGCGCTGGCCTCGGCCGAGCTGCGGATCTTCTCGGGCCGGGCCCTGGTCTCTGTGGTCCAGCTCAACTCACCGGCGGCCGGCATGGTCTTTGGATGCTACCACCGCGAGCAGCGGACGCTGCTTATTGCGCACGAGTCCGGGGCGCTCTCGGTCAAGATGCTCCCGCGCTCGCAAGTCTCTGCACTGACCTCATCGGCAGGAGCGACGGGCCCGCTGGCCGAGCAAACCGTTCCGCTCGCCCTTCCGCAGCGGACGCAGGTCTGGCTGGACCAGGCTAAGCGTGAGCACTCGGCCGCACTCGGTATGCACCAGACGTACCAGAAGGCGCTCTTCCAGCTCAAGCTCAACACCCTTCGCGAGTACGTCAAGCTCCTGCAGCAGTCGGCCGGCACGTCGGCGTCGGTGACGGCGGCGGCGCTGCCGTCGGCGAGCGATAGCGAGGCCGCGCACCACGCGCCGCAGGTCACTCTATCGCTCCGGCTCCTGGCCCAGATTGTGGGCCTCGGCCCGTCTTTCCTTGTCAAGATCACCGTGACCAACTCGTCGCCGTCGGCCGCTTCGGGCCTCTCGGTCGTCATCGGGCACAACCCCGAAGTGTATAGCATGCCGCGGTCTATTCTTCCACTCCCGCTCCTGGTTCCAGGCGTGCCCTACGTCCTTGCTCTCCAGCTCAAGTGTCTGGTCGAGGGAGCCTCGGACGCCATCACCGCTCTTGTCGTCAACTCGGGCTCGGACGTCCCGCTCATCTCGTACAAGCTCCAGGTTCCTGTTGCTGAAGTCATGCTCGATATTTAGTCGTGTTAAAGCCCGATGGGTGTGTTTGTGAGCTGGCTGGCTGGCTGGCTGGCTGGCGGGCGGGCTGGCGGGCGGGCGAGAACAAGGCAGAGGACGACAGACACGCGACTCGAGGCAGCGAGACAGACAGCTATGGCCGAGCAGGACGCCAATGCCAAGTTTGACCGGTGTGCGGAGAATGCAATTGTGAACACAGCCGTGGGCACTGTTGGTGGCCTTGCGGTGGGTGTCACTCTTCTGCGTGGTATGTCTGTGTGGGAGGGAACGGGAGGGGGGGAGGGGGAGGGGAGGGGGGAGGGGAGGGGAGGGGGAGGGAAGGGGTATACTCACAGGGAAGATGGAATTGGGACTGGGCTCGGGGTTGTGGCTGACGACTGTGACTGTGATTGGTGACTGGTGGCTGTGGCTGTGACCGTGACTGTATGCGTATGTGCATGGGTTTGTTGTCTGTGGTCGTAGGTCATCGACTGCTGCGCATGGCTGCCATTGGTGTGGGCATTGGTATGGGCGTGGGCATGGCCTGGTCAAACTGCTCGTACGACTTTAACAACCCGGGCATTACCCATGGTACTGTCATTCGCAAGGCTGATGCAAGCTGATCTGAGCTTGGGCATAGGCCGAGCTAGGCTGGACTGAGCTGGGCGGGCCTTGGGCTGAGCCGAGCTGGGCCGAGCTGGGCCGGGCTGAGCCGAGCTGGGCCGAGCTGGGCCGAGCTAGGCGGGATACGGGTGATTAAACAGCTGCGCAAACGGGAGGGCGATATGGTGGTACAGTTTACGTCGCAAAGTGCTTGATGAGCATGGCAACTCGCTCGTCCGAGACGTCGGGCGGCGGCGGAGTGGCAGTGGCGGCACGGGCGCGGACGGCGTCGTTGACGGCACGCATCGAGTCGAGGACGTCTTCGATGCCCACGCCAAAGTGAGCAGCGTGGCTGAGCGCGCGTCGTAGGCGGGCAAACGAGGCCGGCGTGTCGACCTCGGAAGGGGAAAACTGGGCGGCGTGGCGGTAGTAGGCGGCCGGCGCATCGTGGGCAGTGCCGGGAACAAATGAGGTGGCGGCAAGCGCGGCTTTGAGGGTGCGGGTGGCGTCGGCCCGCCGCGGCTCGCCGGCGGCGACAAGGATGCGCCCGAGGAGAGTGCGGAGGGTACCCGAGTGGGGCGCGGCCTGGGTAGCCTCGAGAACAAGCCTCTCGGCGGTGGCGAGGTCGCGGTCGGCGAGCGCCTGACGAGCTGCGGCGTAGAGCTCGGCGGTTTGCGGCGCAAGCTTAGAGTAGAGGATGCCGGTGTGATGCGGGCGGGCGAGCTTGCGCTTGCCGCCAGCGTCGACATGGACAACGGCCGGCGGCGGGAACCGCGAGCGGAGCGCCGACGCCAGCCGCGGGCCGACCGCAGGCACACCGACTACCGAGAGCTCGCGGAGGCCGGCAAGGATGGTTCCGGACTTGCTGGTGGCAGCGATGTAGCGGAGCGCCGACGGAGGAACCTGAGCACCATCGAGGCGCAGGATCCGCAGCTTGGGGTTGGCGGCGACGAGAAGGACAAAGGCCTTGTGGGCGTACGACATGAGCGCAGGGTGGGTGACCGGTGCGGCAACTGGCGACGCCGCGTTGGCTTTGTCGACGTCGAGCAGGCCGGCGCAGCCGGAAAGGTCGAGCTCAACCAAGCCCTCGAGGTGCGTGGCGAGTGCGTAGAGGCCCATGCCAGTAAAGCCGTCACAGGCAACGAGCCGCAGTCGCCGAAGCGAGAACCCGTCAAGAACGTGGCCGAGCATGCCTGCGGCAGTGTCGTCAAAGAGAGCGCAGCCAGAGAGGTCCAAAACCTTGGTGTGGACCAGCGATGGCGCCAAGCCCGTCAGCGGGCGCAGCGCAAGCGTCGTCGCCGCAAACGAGAGCTCGGCGACCGGCCAGGCCTCGGGCTGGCGGGCGGCGTAGGCAACACCACGCGAGACGGCATAAAGCGCCATCTTGCTCATGGCCGGCACAAACGAGAACAGGTACATCAGCAACTCGATGGGGAGCGAGTCGAGGCGGAAGACCTCGTGGCGGAGCTTGATCATCGGCAGCTCGCCAAAGGAGCGGCAGTCTATGGCGAGCGTTCCGGGCTTCCACGCCTCCATCGCCGCGGCGTCGTCGGCCGAGGCGTCGTCGGCCGAGTACGACGGGTATGCGTTCGAGTACTCGTACTCGACCTCGTACTCGTAGTACTCATTCGAGTAGTATCCGTCGTCCTGATGCTGGGCAGGATGAGGAGGAGGAGGCGCCGCGGCAGCAGCGGCAGCCTGGTTCTGGGCCGCCATGTACTGCTGCATGTGCGGGTAGCCGTAGTAACCGCCGGCGGCAGCGGCAAATCCGTAGTACGGCGACGAGACGTAGCCATACATCGAGTATGGGTTCGCCATGTACATCGGATTCATATGGTTGACCTGTGGAGGAGGAGGAGCGAGCGCGGGCGCAGGTGCGGGCGCAGGCTTGGTCGTCCGCCGCTTGCGCTTGCGGTGGATGTAGACCTTGGTCTCGCGGCGCGAGCCAGCCCGTGATCGCTTGGCCTTTTTGCCTCCCTTGCCCCGCTTCGCCGCCGAAGCCTTGGACGCCGACTTGCTTGCCTTGGACCGTGACCGCGCCGTCGACGCTTTGGACCGCGACTTGGGCCGCGACTTGGACTTGGACTTTGACGCCGTGCTCTTCTTCTTGCCGCGCGACGCCTTGGACTTTTTGGTCGGTGGCGCGGCGCGGACACCAAAGGCGGAGCGGATGGTGTTCTTGGCCGGCTTGGGCTCCGAGTCGGACGTGGCTACGGCAGAGTCCTTGGCCTTGGCGGCAGCGTCGTCGGCGTCGACCTTGGCCTCGGCCTCGTCGTCATCGGTATGGCCGTAGTCTGGGCGGATGTAGGCAGCGTAGGGACGAGAAGGATCGCAAAGTCACAGACAAACTCAAAGTTCTCGGGAAGGTCGTCATCGTCGAGATGGAGGCACTCTAGATGGAGCCAGTGCGAGCAGCGGTCGCACGCAATGAGCGCCGACTTTGCGCACTTTCGGCACTTGCGGTCTTGGGACGAGTGCTCGTCACCGCACACACACCGCGCATACCACACAGCACCGTCAGAGTCGGTCAGCTCCCCTGAAGACGAGCCTGTCTTCTTGCCCATAGCCAGGATGGTGGGGCAAGAGGAGAGGAGTGGCGTCGAAAGTGCTGGCCGTCCTGGTGGTGGTGGTGGTGGGTGGCGGCGCCGGTGGCTGCTGTCGCGAGAAGCGCTCGTGCCGGGGCGAAATAGGGGCACAGCCTGCGATGCGGCGCGACTGGCATCTGCAACGACAGCGGTGGACCGCGGCCGGCGATAATAAATCTGTTGTCTGCTGGGCCAGCTTTTTTGCCAGTCTGTGGCTGTACTCTTAGATGTGGGAATGGACTCCCTTGCCGACTCTTTGTGTTGTTGGGGGTATACAGATTGTTACGCACATGATGGCGTTGCTGATATGATAATGGTGGTGCAGAGGGAGAGTGCCTGTGAGTCACGTGAGAACCGCATATGCGACGGCGGCAAAAAAATGACTCTCGCTCCGCCACCGTTATCTCGCCACACTGTCCTCCCGTTGCTCTCTGCGACGTGATACACACCTCTCTGAATCACCATTCTAATGCTGCGGACTACGATCTACCTTGCTATCGGGCTCTGCTTCCTGGCCAGCGTCACAGCTGGCGTGCACTATGAGCTGCAGTTTACTGCGGACCAGTTCTGCCAATCGGCGTCAATTATCTACAAGTTGACGACTACGATGTCGCCGCCGTTCCCTTGCCAGGCCATGCCCGGTACGATGTGCATCATCAAGGGCACCGACCCGAACAACTGCATTCCGCAGCCGTACTTTTCTATCGACGGCATCTCCAACGTGATCAACCTCTGGGGCGACGACCAGTGTACCCAGCGGTCGGGCCCTCCGCTCGGCTCGTACCGGTGCAACCTCTACTTTGGCGTTGCCGACGGTGTCGACTTTCGCCGCATCAACTACACCCGGTACGAGAACTGAGGTTGACTGTGCCGATGTCATACAGGCGCAAGTGCAAGCGCAGAGCGTTTTTCCTCCGCTGCTCTGCAACAGGCCTACACACGTAAACGACACTATGGCCTTGCTCCACCACCAATCGGTAGCCCAAGCAGCTGATGTCGCACCTTTCAGTCACTGTTGCCATTCTCCCCAAGCTCCCATCCCGATCACCACAACCATTCTCACGAGCATAATACCGCTGCCATCACCAGTAGCGCTTTTATGACAGCAGGCCTGATGTGGCGAGCCGTCAGCCAACCCACAGCGGACCGTCACCCAAATCAAGTCTTTTCCCAACAGCACAGGTTGCCACCACCGATCACCACCACCCAGCATAGGGAGCCGGACAGCAGCGCGCGAGACACAACCCACGGCACTTCACCCCATCACCCCACACTCCGTCCACCCCCGTGTGTGCTCGAGTCTACGTGTGCGTGTGTGTATTTGTGTGTGTGTGTGTCTCTCTCTCTCTCTCTCTCTTACTCTGTGACAAAGCAGGCGAAGAACACGGTTCGACCTACCAGGCCGACCACCACCACCACCATCACCACCACCACCACCACCTACCTACCTACCTACCTACCTACCTACCTACCTACCTACCTACCTACCTACCTTGACCAACATGGGCAACGCTCAGTCGGGCAATACGGTGGTTGTCAACGAAGGCCCTCCGGCCGCGGGCGGCAACAATGCCAACAATGCCAACAACGCCAACAACCAGCCCGCAGGCCCGCCAGCCGCCGCTCCGGCTGGTGCGACCGAGGCCGAGACGGACGCTATCACCAACGCGAACACCATCGCTAATTCTGGGGCTGGAGATGCGGCGCCGGCAGGTGGAGCAGTTGTCCGACCGCAGGAGACGTACACCACGACCATCTCGTGCCAGTTTACGGTCAAGAAGGAGACGTTTGTGTTCAAGCCGGTCGACGACGGCGCACAGGGCGGCAGCGGCGGAAAAGTCCTCGACGAGGAGGCCGGGCAGGTCCGCGGCAAGCCAAGCTCAGGAGCAGCGTCGGGCGCGGCGCGGGTCAACGCGGCGGCGACGGCGCAAGGCTTCTCCACCGCAGGATTTGGCGGCATGTCGGTAGAGGAGTACAACCGGCGCGCAGGCAAAGAGGTGGCGACCGGCTCAGACTCGTCGCTGACCGAGGGCGAGAGTGAGCAGGAGGAGCAGGCTGACGACGCGGACGGGGGCGAGGCTGGCGCGCCTGCCAGCGCGCCCGCCGGCTCGGGCTCGGACGCTGCCGAGCCGGACCGCCGGCCGTACTCGCTCTCGTTCCAGTTTGACGCCTCTGTCGACACCGTGGTGAGCGTGTACTACATGGCACGGCCGACGACCGAGCGCACGCCTGGGACCTTTGACGACCTCTTTGAGACTATCGGGAGCGTGACTGTGCCCAAGCTCGAGTTTTCGGCCGGCATGGACGTGCAATACGCGGTGCCGGCCGGCCACGAGTTTGTGCCTGCGGCGTACGACGAGGCCGAGCTGGTCAAGACCTCGGCGATGGTGGCCTATCCGGTGGTTGTTGTGGCCGAGACCGCGCCGATGGCGGTCCACCAGGGCGTGCAGCATCAAGTGATGACCACGTACTGCACGCTGACCGCCACCGGCGGGCGGTACGCCATCCGAGTCCTCAAGCAGATAGTCCAGATTGCCGACTGCTACTACCTCCTGCACGATATCTTTGGCGTCGTCAACGACGACGACGACGAGTCGAACGAGTGTGTGGTGTGCATCACCGATCCGCGCGACACCGCGGTGCTTCCCTGCCGCCACCTTTGCCTCTGCGCGCCATGCGCCAAGCAACTCCGCCAGCGCTCCAACCGCTGCCCGATCTGCCGCGTCCCCTTCCAGTCGCTCCTTCAGTTCAAGCTCTCCAAGCTTCCGTCCGAAGACTCCGACTCGGACCCCGACAGCGACATTGGTCATCGCCACTCGGGAGAGCCTTTCGACTCGGACGGCGATGGCGAAGGCGGCGTCGTCCTCAACGACCTGACCGCAAACCCGCAGACTGTCCCCGTCTGATTCTTATCCGATTGTTGCCTATGATCTACTCTCACCATCATACACACACACACACACACACACACACGCGCTCTCTCTCCTCCTCTCTCCCATACATCAAACCAGCCCAGGTCCGGTCGGGCCATCGGTCACCGCCGTCCACTGCTGTGCTGTGCTGACACCGACCGCCACACGACTCGGCGGCAGAGTGTGAGGATGGCAAGCCAGAGGGCGACGGGAGGAAGAGTAGTCGAGAGCAGTGGGGACGAGTACTCGTACAGCCAGAGTGGAGGAGGAGGAGAAAGAGGAGGAGGGCGTCTAGGCAGGGGCACTGGCGGCAAGATGGGTCATGGCTTTGCTGCCGACGCCCTCTTCCACGCCCGCCTCCCTGTCCCCGGCCCGCCACCTCCTCGCCTCGCCAACGAACTCTATCCCACAGACGACGACAAGGAGCGTATGGAGGTACGTGCTCTTCTATTACTACCTACTCATTATGCCCTCTGGCCTCTCTCTGACTCGGTTGTGGAGGAAGGTTCTCCAGACATGCCTGCCGCTGGCTAGTGGTGCTGGCGCAGTCCCTTCGCCGACGTGGCCACGTGGCTGCCCCCACCTCGCGTGAGATTGGGCAGATAGGCTATATGCACACACGCACACACGCACACACGCACACTCACACCCTCTATCGAGTGTAGGCGTGGAACCGTGAGCTGGCACTGTCGCGCGATCGTGATCGGGTGTCGCTGCGACGGGCGCGGCGGCAGCAGAACTACGATACGTTTGTGGCCGACGGCGGGATGGGCGCGTATCGCGCGGCGGTGGCGCGGGAAGAGCGGCGGCGGCGGCGGGCTGCAGAGCGCGAGCGGCGGCGGGCTGCGGAGCTTGAGTATGAAAAGTCGTTTGAGCGGGTGCGGTTCCGGATGGCCAAGCGCGGCGGGCGGCGGGCGTCATACGAGGTGCAGAGTCTTGGGCGGGTAACATCGTCGCCGGTTGACTCGTTTGCCGGCCTGATGGTGACACTGGACGATGTGGTGCGGTCGGACGCCGGTGGAGTGTGGTACGTCCTGGCGCTGAGCTACGGAGTGGCGCCTGCGTGGACTATCCATCGGACGTACGAGGACTTTGCCGCGCTCGCCGAGACGCTGCGCGAGCTGTATCCGCAGCTGGAGCACGTGGCGTTTCCTCCGTCGTACTCTTACGGCGAGAGCTGGGACTCGGTGGTGGCCGAGCGCAAGACCGGCCTGCTCACGTTCCTGGTCCAGACACTGGCTCTGCCCAAGACGCCTGTCCTCGACTCTTTTCTAGAGTTTTCCTTCCACGTCATGGACTTTGTTTGTCTCCGCTACGAGCGGCTGTACAACTCGGTGGCCAAGGTCCGCCGCAAGATTGTGCAGGTTCCAGTCGACGAGCCTGCGCCCGGCGAGCCGCTCTACGAAGAGTACGAGGAAATCTACGAGGTCGACGTCGAGGATCTAGCCACGCTCGACGACGTTGCAGTCCATCAAGCCAACAGCTCAGCCGTCGGAAGCAAGCCGTCGCGCACTGCGGCCGTCGCCACCAACTCGGTCGCCGTTCAGACCGCCGCCATCCAGTTTGACACCATCTTCAACTTTCACCTCGAGCAGATGCGCGAGCAGCTTGCTGACTCGCTCATCACCCTCATGGATGACACCCACATCTACACCAACAATTACGTCACCCAACTCCGCCGCGAGATCCACCACCACCGCAATCAGCAGCGGATCCACGCTGCCCGCACTCCACCGGCCGGACCATCTGACCGCCAGCCACACCCGCAGCAGGCCCATGCCGCGCACCCTCACCCGCCACAGACCCAGCCCCATGAGCCGCACGTCCCAGCCCGCGGCTCCTCGCGCCACGCCGTGCTCTCGGATCAGGCCCGGCACGGCGCCAGGCCTGGTCTCGCCCACGGCCATGGCGATGGCGACGGCCACGGCCATATCAAAACGTAGAAGAAGTGCACGCAAAGCTCCGAGTGTCTTGCGAGGCAGGCGACATACGATAGCGATGTCAATCACGACTACGATCACCGCCACAAAGCACACGATTGCGCCTCAGCACCACGTCGGACGCACTACTTGCAGTGAACGGAACGGCTTACTGTGACTAACTAACTGATTCTAATGACTGACTAAATGACTAACAGCTGATGCGTATCGTCACTACAGTTTCTTCGTCAGCTCAAAGTCGAAAAGCATCCATGCACGCAGGAGCATCATCTTCTCGGCGCGCAGAGCCGAGAGGCGGTTCCGCTTCCTCGTCATCATGTCTGTCGCCACCGAGTTGAGCCGTTCGACGCTGGCAGCGGAGGCCGATGGAAGAAGGATCCCCTGGCCCCACAAGCGGAACCTCGCACACAGCACCTGGATCCGCCGTACGTCAGCCTTGCGGTTCCAGTTCTTGCGAGACTCGAGACCGACGCACACGTCCTCAAACTTAGCCAACACGTCGCCTACGGACAAACTTGAAGAGGTAGAGATTAGCCGACTGTTGTACAACGTAGCCGTGAGAACCTTGCAGAACACTTCGACGAGCTTGTAGTTGCTGAACGAAGCCACAGACGCAGGCGTATCGTTCACCGTCATCTTTCGCACCTTGCAGCCGCGAACCTCATCAACGCTCTTCGCGCGCAGGCGCTTCCCCGCGTTCTTCTCGCGCTTGGCAATGTTACGAGCGCGCGCCTCGCGCTCCGCGGCCATCCGCGAGCGCGCCTGTGGCGATGAAGCCGGCTCAGCCATTACCACCTTGGATGGCCCACCGGCAGCAGACATACTCGGGGAAAAGTACGTGGGGTCCCGCGATTCTTGCGGCAGCGTGTTGCTCGCTCCGCTCGATGACGCCGCAGTATGCGACGGGAGCGTGGATAGAATGTCCAGGAGCTTGGGCTCAAGGACGTCTGCCAAGCGACGCCACATGTCATGGTGGACCTCAGCAGCGGTCGCCAGATGGCGCACACCAAGCGAGTTGTTGGCGTCGGCGACAACTCCCTGGACATACATAAGGTCGTCCTTGGTGACAGTCGTGTCAATAAGGAGAGCAAAGAGGCACGCATCCTCTTTGTACAAGTACGCAACCTGTTTGTACACTGCCTGGGTGGCGATGTCGCACAGCTGTTGGATCCTAGGGATATCCTCGTTGTTGATCTTGAGCTCTGCCAGATCGTCCACAATCCCCACCATCGTAAGGAGCGAAAGGGAGGACGACATATCGGACGTCTGAGACATGACGCACGAGTTGTTGATCGTGAGGAGTACCTCCACAGCGTCATGTACCTCGTCCCACTCGCTCGCGGTCAACTTAGCCGGGGCACCCGCGATCTCAGTCGAAACAAAATCCACGGCATCCTTCATCCTCGACGCCCGTTCCAGCATAGTCACCGTCGAGCCCCAGCGAGTACTCACGTCCGGCCGCAACGACGTGTATGTTACCAGGACGGGTGGAGACGGTTTGTCATCCACGGTTACTTGACCAAGCTGGACATCCATCTCATATGAGTTCAGCGCGGACTTGTATGCGTGCGTAGCCTCGATGTTCTTCTTGTTGATGAAGTGGCGCATCGTGCGCTTGGCCTTGGACGAGCGAGAGATGAAAGAGACAAGGCGGCGCAGCTTAGAAATTGCGTCAGTGCTTCCCACGAGCGGGGCAGAGGCAAAGTCATCGGATGCAACGGTATCACTCAGCGTCGGCCACTCTGACGACGACAACGATGCCACCTCCGAGAACCCATCCTCCTTTTCGACGTCCTCGTCGTCCGTGTCCTCGCCTACGCCGCCCATCTCGAGTACGGCCGTGTCACGGCTCGAGACCAAGTCTGTCTGCACCAAGGCAGGATCCAGCTCACTGTCAGCCTGTACCGCCTTGAGCACGTCACCGACGATGCGCTGAATGCGGTGGGAGAGACATGGATGCCACGGGAGTTCGAGGAAGCGCTTTGTCATCCGGGGCATGAGCGCCGTTGTGTCGCTAGACAAGGCGACTACCTGGACCCAGTCAATCCCGAACTCTGTCACACAGAGCTTCACCACCTTGGCGAGATTCTCGGCGTTGGCGGAGAGATATGTGGTGTCGTACTCGGCGCTGTCGTCAGACGTTGAGCGAACAGCGTTCATGAGATCGGCGGTGAGCGCCTTGAACCCGATGGGGATTGTCATGCGCACTCCCGAACTGTAGAACTGGGCACACACACCGAGAAAGGTATGGCGCGTCCCAGACGACGTCCACTCATCGACGATGAGGGAGATAGGCCCGTCCCCAATGTGCTCCTGCATCTTGGTGCGGTACTTGAGGAAAACGCGATCGAGTACACCCTCACGCAGGTGCTTCTCGCACGGTAGAATCTTGCGCACGCTCGTCGCACTCAAACCCACTGCGACAGCGAACATGTGGGCGAGGTACGGGTCTTCGATCGACGCAAACGAGCGGTGCTTGTACAGCACGCTCTTGAGCGCGTATTCCGCAACGCGCGGCTTTGCAGCCTTCAAGCGGTCTTCCGAGGGGAAGTACGCCTGCAGCTGCTGGCTGGACGTGGGGACATCAACGTCCAGCGCCGACAGTACCTCGCTGTGGGCGTTTCGGAAGTGGCTTTTGATATTTGAGGTCGACTTGAAACTGTTGAGGCTAATCTGCTTGCCGCAGAGCCTGCAGCAAGGAGCCTCTCTGTTCTGGTGCGTGACAAGCTGCCACAAGGCCGAAGAACGGGGCATGCTGCGTGTGAGAGGGGTGTCTCCGTCTTGATCACCATCTTAGTCATTGACGTTTGACTGACTAACTAATGACTAAATCTTTTGACTACGAATGACTATGACTATCGTCGTTCCGTACACTGACTACTTGACGCCACCACTTGTCTCCCTCCCTCCCCCACTCCCCCTCCCCCCTCCCTCTCCTCCCTCCCTCCCTTCCTCCTTCCCCCCTCCCCCCTCCCCCCTCCCTCCCTCCCTCCTTCCCCCCTTCCCCCCCTCCCCCCTCCCGTCCCCTCCCCTCCCACTTGTGGATGTGGTCATGATAATTGATTGATTGTTGGTTTTTGTTGGCCATTTTGTTTGTTCACCCCCCTCTTCCCCCCCCCTCGCTCCCTCCCTCCGCATGGATGGCTGGATAGCTGGATGCCACAATAGAAGGTACGATACACAGCAGGCAAAGAAGCAATGTACACTGCGCCATCGATGGGATATGCTGCTGGCGATGATGCCTATATTCATGCGTGTCAACTGACTGGGGGACGGGAAACGGGGAGAGTATGCCTTGGTCCGTACGTTCTGTCCGGACCTATGGACGCTCTCCCTCATCCCTGTCCCTGTAATGAGTTAATCTGACCTGACCGTCATTTCTACTGAGCCTACAGCACCATCACCCCCCCCCCCCCCTCCTCCCTCCCTCTCTCAAGGCATCACTCACCATCCATATCCTGGTCCTATCTACAGATTCCCTCCCTCCCCCCCTTTGCGCCGCATCCCGCATCGGCCTACATCAGCGCATCGATGATGATGGTGGGCGCGCTAGTGGTACATACTGTTGTTAATCGGTGTTCCGGAAAAAGATGAGCGCGCCTGAAAACGTAAAGTACAGCAGATCAAACTCGCGCTTGAAAACACGCAGCTTGTCGAGGGTGAGCCTGGCAGTCTCGACGTCGGCGCGCTTCTTGGAGCGGGCAGCGGCACCGTCGGCGACCTTGGCCTCCTGCTCGGCGACGCGGGCCGAGACGGCGTCGAACCAGTGTAGGGCGTCAAAGGCTTTGGTGAGGCCGAGGACCTGCAGGATGTAGGCGAGGCCCATGGCAAAGCCGTCGTCGGTAAAGGCAGCCCCGTCCTTGTTCTTCTTGAGCAGGCGCTCCTTGGACTCGCGCATGTACTCGACGTAGTTGATGGTGAGCGGCGGGATGATGATGAAAAAGTTGGCGAGAAAGGCGAGGTCCGGATGCGCAAACTCGGTGGAGAATAGGTCGACGAGGATCTTAAAGTAGTCGGAGCCCTCGGCAAAGTTCTCGGCGAGCGACGAGAGGTGCGAGTCAAGAAGGCGGGCGGCGTCGCGCGACTGGGCCGAGAGCCCGTCCTCGACCACCATGTCCTGAAAGGCGAGCATGTCGACAATGTCGGGCACAAACTTGATTTCTGACGCGGTGGCGTGAAGGCCGCCCGAGCGGATCATGCGGATGTAGCCCATGGCGTTGCCGATGTGGGTGATAAGGATGCGGAACTGGTCGAGGTACGAGAGCCCGCCCTGCGTGCCGAGGTTGCGGATGTCGCGGTGGAACTGGAGCGCGCGCTCGTATGGATAGACGTTTCCGAGCGCCTCGGCGTTCTTCTTGTAGAACGAGATGTCCTTCATCAGCCGCGAGCGGATAGTGTCGTCAAAGAGAAAGTGCTTGAACGTGGTGAACTGGTCCTTGAGAAAGCCAAAGACGTAGTTGACAGCAGTGTTCATGACGCCGGCGCCGTGGGTCCGGATCGACGCCGCAATGTGCGAGATGTCGATGGCGTTGAGCGCCTTGGACGCCGCGCTCCGCTCGATGAAGAACTGGTTGTTGAGGTTGTAGTTGTACCGCGCCACAAACGCGCCGATGTTGCGCATGATGACCAGGACGTCGAGCATCTTCTGCTGGTTGTGCCCGCGGAGGTGCGACGGCGTGCACTCGAGGCCCCACTTGGCCGCCGCCAGGTTGCGCATCTCCTCGTACACCTTCCAGTCCTGGAGTGCGACCGCGGTCAGGTCGTAGAACATGACGTTGAGGTAGTGGGTCACCTCGTCCTTGACGTCGTACACCCGGTCAAAGAGGACCATGGGCTTGAGCGCAAAGTACGGCGCAAAGTCGCGGGTTCCCTCAAACGGAGTCTTCTTCACCACCAGCAGCTCCGAGTGCGACGCCAGCCGCAGCTCGACCTCGACGTCGCGCGCCAGCGGCTCCAAAAGTGGTCCTTGATGTATCCGTCGACCTCGTCCACAAACGAGGCGAGCGAAACATTCTCGTTAAAGTCCTCAACCTTGGCCAGCAGCGCCGCCGCGTCCTGCAGCGCCGCAAACATGTACGGGAGCTTGTGGACCGTGGCCGGCGACGTGTACGCGTCCTTGAGGTATGTCGGGAGAATGACCCGCGACCAGTACACAAACGAGGTCTCGGTCGCCAGGTACAGGTTCCGTTGCAGCGAGCAGAGCATGTCCAGCCGCCGCAGCTGCGCGCTTAGCTCGCGGGCCGCGTCCGGCGGAATGACCGACTTTGAGTTGGCCACCGCGAGGCCGAGGTGCAGCAGCATCCGCCGCGCCTCTGATGCTGGCCCATCCAGCATCGCCAGCGCGAGGTTAACGCCCCCGAGCGCATCGAGCACAGTGTTGTCCACTCGCCGCGCCTGCTCCAGCGAGCTCTTGATGGGCGCGAGCGAGGCCTGCAGCGCAAGCGTCATTTGCTGGACCATGGCCCCGAGGTTGTCGGCAATGAGCGGCGACCGGCGGTAGTAGGTGTGCTCGATGGCCTTGAGCAGCTCGAGCATCTGGCAGAGGGCCATGATCCGCGACGGCGTGAGCGGCTTGCGAAGGAGTGTGTGCAGGCCCATCGCTGTTTTGTACATGTGGCCGATGTTGTATGCAAGCACAATGCCTTGCGTAAACAGCTGGATCCGCGAGTTGAGCAGCGCCGAGAGCGAGGCTCGCGCGTCGAGGTCCGACTCCATCCGCACCTGCCACCCGGAGACCTGCTCGTGGAACTCGCGCGCGAGTGAAGGCAGCTCCGAAGCCAGCCGCGAGAGGTATGCTCCGCGTGCCGCGTTGACATCGCCCGACTTGGCCACGGCACCCATCAACTCGGGAACCGTCAGCGCTAGAAAATCGGTCGGGACCCAGACCACGTTGCCGTAGAGGTGAATGAGCGGGACGACCGTGTACGCCTCCCACAGCGACTTGAACAGCGAGCCGAGCCGCGTCTCCTGGTAAAGCGTAAAGTAGAGACCAAACAAGCCGCACAGCGCCACGTACTGCCCGCGCTCGGTCGTCTCCGACGGCGAGCCCAACCGTGACGCCACGTCCTGGTACCACGTGTTGAGCGTGTAGCCAAACTCGGCCTTGAACGTCGGGTTTGTCGTTACGTTGACAATGTCTTCGTAGTCGAAGACCTGCTCCACGCAGTTCTGGTACACCATGTCGTCAAAGAGCGTCGTGTCGATGTCGCCCAGCGTCCGATTGAGCAGCCGCAGCTCGTCCTCATCAGTGTCGTACGTCTCGGGATCGTTGCGCATGTTGTTCACCATCCGCCTGTACAGCACCCAGCCGTCCTTAAGCCGCGCATTCTGCTTGATAATCTCTTCGAGCGTGATGAGGACCCGGAGCACCGTACCGATGGCCTCAAACGCCGGCCGCAGGTGGATGTCGCGGACAACGAAAAAGGTCTGCGCCGGCGAGTAGAGCGACGCCAGCTGGTGGACAAGGTTGCGGACCACATCGTACGCCCGCCGCACAAACACACACACAGACTGCAGCAGCGGCAGCAGCCGGCCCATCGCCACCTGCGTCTCGCCATCATCGGCGTCCTCGTCGCCTGTCAGCGCTTCACCATGCATCGCCAGCGGAGCAAAGACCTGAGTGGCAGCCTCGGACTCGAGCAGCGCAGCCTCTGACTGCAGTGCCCCAAGCGTCGCCACAATCTTGTTCAGCACCTTGTTCTCGGTCCCAGCCAGCTCCAGAAACGTGGCCTGCTCTGTCGGCGTCACATCCACCGCCAGCGCAGATCGATCGACACACCACAGCGGGCTCGACGACGTGCCCAGCGCCTCCTCGATCGAGCTCAGCTGCGACGAGTACGCCTGCACAAAGTGCTGAAACTTGGACGTCACAAACTGAGAAGCCTTGGCAGCAGACTCTGTCCCCCCAACCAGCCAGCCAGTAGTAGCCCCCGTTCCCCCCCCCCCCCCTCACAGCTTTATGAGTTCCCAGCTGCGCGACCCAAGTCCGACCATGTGGGCCAGCACCAGCAGCCATGCGGTGGTGGCAGTGGCCTCCCCTCCCTCCCACCTCCCCTCTTCCCCGTACTCCCGCGTGCGCCCGTGACTTTCTCCCTGCCTGGCGACAAGCCCCCCCTCCCCCCCCCCCTCCCCCTCCTCCCCTTACCACCCCCACCCCTAATCCCTCCACCCGTCACCCGCCACCCGCCACATACCCTCGTCAACAAGGTCAAACTCTTCGTCCGAACCAGAGTACGCATAGTCCTCGTACGAGTCGAAGGGAGCGTCACGCAGCCCTCCGCGCCGTGCCATGACCTCTGAGCGTCGAGTGGTGGCCCAAACTGCTGTTTCCGGAGTGGTCGGTCGGCCTCTTCACCCGCCTCACGACACACACACACACACACACACACACACACACATACTCTCTCTCTCTCTCATTCTCTGTCTCCTTCCCCTTCACCTGCTACGCATCGTACCCCGGAGTAACGTCAGCCATCTTGACAATGTTCTCGACCAGGAGCTCACCGGCGACGGTATCGCGGGCATCGGACGCAAAGACAATAGACTCGGTGTCAAAGCCCATGGTCTCGATGACGACTAGCGACTCAACGGGTGAGATGCCTGCGGCGGCCAGGCTCTGCCGACCGGCCTTCCACGCCTTTTCGATCATGCACGCCACACCGCCGACCGTCGCTCCGGTCTCCTTGACCATCTCGGCGAGGGTGAGGATGGTATGGCCGGTGGCGAGGAACGAGTCGACGATGAGGACGACGTCCGAGGCATCAAAGTACTCGGATGAGAGGTAGAGCTTGCCCGGGAGCGCTGCGCCTTTGCGGCGGTATGGCTTGGTGATGATCGACGCCGGCAAAGGGCCACGGAGCAGCTTCTTGCGAGCGTACACAAGGTCAATGTTGAGGCAGGTCGCGACGACAAAGCCAGTCACGATGCCGGCCGTCTCGACCGTCACCACCTTGGTGATGCCTGCATCGGCAAACCGCTGCGCAATCGTCTCGCCGCACATGTACATGGCCATGGTATCGACCCTGTGCGACATAAAGCCATCAACCCGCAAGTTGGGCGTCGTCGAAGCCGGCGACGCCGACACGGCCTCGCCCGCCGTCGTCTCGCCCGTTTTGCCCACATCCTCGCCACGCTTCCGCTTCTTGTTCACCGGACCGGCTCCATCATCCTCGCCCGTCGCCACCTCTACCATTGCTCCAACTCCAGTCTCGGTACCAGCTCCAGTCTCCACACCCGTACCAGCGCCAGCCTCCACTGCCGCACCGGCCGGCTGACCTCCGTCCTCGCTGCTGCTAGCACCTTGTGCAGAGCTTGTATTCGACATAGACACCAACGAAATACCTCTGTAAGATCCTCTGCTGCTACTGCTGTCACCGACGGGGTGTGAGTGCAGCTGTGTAGTGCAGTGGGCCACTCTCCCCTCCCCTCCCGCGCTGTGTCTGTGTCTGCACTTGCCCGACTATATGACGGCTAGCCGCAGTCGCAGCCCCCGGGAAGGCCCAGCACCAGACCACGATGTTGCAACGAAGGCGATGATCACTTGGCATGCAAAGCCACCACCACCAATGATCGATCTCCACATGTGGCCACCCCGAAAAACTTCCAATCAATCCCCCCATCCCCGCGCGTACCTCGCTTGGCCCCACTGCATGCCCCAGCTGTCTTGCTCTCTGCTCTCTGCCTGTGTTTGCTTGCTCACGGCTTGCAACCAAACGTGACCAACCCAGGTTAGCACGCACCCCCCCCCCCCCCCTACGACCATCACCCCACTCCCGCCACCAAGCCCAGACCCTCAACACCCACCCACGCCCCACAACCAGTCATGGCTGAAGAAGCACCACCGCCAGTACCACCGGGTGTGGTCGACAAGTTCGCCCTCTTTACCATGGCTATCGACGACGTCGAGTCGCTCAACCTGTCGCTCGCACTGGGACCTCCGCCAGAGGCCAAGGAGGAGAGGAAGCAAGGACCAGGAGAAGCAGAGCGGGGAAAGGTCATCAACTTGGCAGATGCTATGCGCCGCTGGGCAAAGTTCTCGGCATCTGCCACTGTCATCCAGCGTGCTGTCCGCTCGTGGCTCGCCCGCCGCGGCTTCCGCGCGCGCGCCCCGCTGGAGATCATGGCAGCCAAGGCCGAGGCCGAGTCTGTGCTCCTCGCAGATCGCCGCGCTGCTGCGGTGAACGAGCTGATTGAGACCGAAGAGGCTTACCTCAACAAGCTCCGCCTGCTCCGTACCTTTTACATTGAGCCGCTCACCGACATGCTTGCAGAGTCCAAGCCGCTGCTCTCGGCCTCACAGCTTCGCAGCTTGACGTCCACCCTCGATCCGCTCCTCAAGCTCACCGAGACCACGCTTGGCAAGCTTCACGCAGCCGTTGAGGCGGCCGGCGGTGATCTGACGCGCGCCGCGGTAGGCGCTGCACTTGCCGAGCTCGTCCCCTACCTCAAACAGTACAAGGCGTACGCCAACAACTACCAGTACGTCATGGCTGTGCTGGAGACGGCCAAGGCCGACTCGTCCGCCATGGCCAAGTTTCTTGACGATGCCTACCATGCCTCGGGCCGCAACCCGTACTCGATGCTCCTAATGCAGCCGATCCAGCGGCTGCCGCGGTACCTGCTACTGTTCAAAGTGGTTTTCAAAGCGACTCCCGCGACCCACCCCGACACCGTCCCTGTTAGCGACATCATCACTTCGCTCGAGGAAGTTCTCGTCGACGTCGACGCCGAGGTCTCACGCGCTCGCAACGTCAACACCATGCTCGCGCTGCAGGAGCGGCTGACCGGCGCGGCGCCCATCCTCGTCGCCGACTCCCGCGCGCTTGTCCACCAGGGCCTGCTTGTCCTGGCCTCGGGCGACGTTCGTGAGGCCTTTCTCTTTACCGACATGCTCCTGCTTTGCACGCAGGTCAAGTCGGGGCCCAAGCTCAAGGTCAAGGACGTCCTAGCTGTGCCCACCATGTACGTCACCGGCCTGCCTGATGATGCCGAGGACAGATCAGAGCTTGGCTTCCGCATCGTCGCCGTCTCCAAAGTCATCACTGTCTTTGCGAGGAATGCTGACGACCGCGCAGACTGGATCACCGCTGTCCTCACCCTCGTCGCCGACCACGTTCGCCGTGACCCCTCGCTCGTCGCCGCCCGCCGGCCGTCGCCCGAAGCCAGCGATGGCACAGGCAGTGCCAACATCCCACCGGCCCTTATTCCGTCGTCAGTCCACCCGACACCGTCGATTGAGCTGCCGGCGCTCGACGTCGACAACCTCCGCTCCATCTTTACCATCCGCTACCTCCGCGCCTCGGTCCTTGCCGAGTACGAGGGCGTGCTCTCCAAGCGCGGCGTCCGCAACACCAGCTTCCGCAAGCGAACCTTTATCCTCCTCGACAAGTTCCTCTACTACTTTAAGAGCACCAAAAAGGCGGCCGTACCTGCCGGTGTCATCCCGCTCACCCGTACCTCGCTTGTTCAGTCGCGCGAGTCGGCAAACTCGTCGCAGGGCGGGCCCGTCTTTTTGACATTGCACACAAGGAGCGGCGCACCTTTCACCTCCAGGCCCGCTCGTTTGCCGAGTATATCGACCTCAAGCAAGCTGTCCACAAGTCACTCGAGACCCCACTCAAGATCCCCGGCCCCGGCTTTGAGTTCCTACTCTCGAACATGGTGGGCAAGGATTGCACCAATGCCGTCGTCAACCAGGCCGTCCAGCAGCTCGCCGCCTTTACCCTCGCGCCAATCTCGGACAAGCGCTATACAATCATCAACCGCACTGGCCTAGACAACGTCGTAGGGGCGATCTGCCACGTCCTCACCACCACCGTTGCCGAGGACGCAGCCAAGTACGCATGTGTCTGCATCCGCAACCTGGCCCACTCGCGCGAGACTGCAGCCGCCATCCATGACGTCGCCGTCCCGTCGCTGATCTGGATCCTCCTCCGCACCGCACCCTACGTTACGCCGATCGTCAAGCGTGAGGCCGTCTATGCCCTTCTCCACATCAACACCCTCTCCCAGCCGATCCTCTACGCCGAGACCCGTGCCGAGTCGCTCTCCACGGCTGTACTCAAGTACCTTGCCTCTACCTCGCACGTCGCCGGCGACCCGCTCTCCATTGAGGTCGTTTCGGCCATGTTCGCCGACGTCGCGTCCAAGGCCTTCCGCCGCACCGCCGTCCTCAACAAGCCCAACTTTGCCAACGTGGTCACTACCCTTCTCCGCCTCTCTGACTACCCGGCAACTGCGGCCCATGCCGCATCGGCCCTCGGCTCGCTCGCCTCACACTCGACCATGTGCCAGCAGCTTCGTTCTGCCGGAAAGACCTCGCTGCTCGAACTCAACGCCGAGTGGGCCGCACTGTTGGTGAGCCACCTCAGCTCGGACAAGATCTATCTCGTCCGGGCCGCGCTCCTCGCCATCCGCAACTTGATCTCGCGCTCGGTCGTACCGCGTGCCTCGGCCACCACCGCCGTCCGTCGCCTCCTTGCTGCCGGTCTCCTCCCGCAAGTTACCACCATTGCTCGTGGTGAGCACGAGACGGACGTCCGCAACGGCTGCCGCCTCCACGCCCTCGCCCTGCTTGTCTCGCTTACCGCCTACGACACGCCGATGACCTCGTTGCTGGACTCGGGCGGCCTCGAGCTTGTGCGGAGTGTGCTTGCCGACGTCTCCGCCGCTCTTGACTCTGCATCTGATGGCTCTGCGCTTGACGCGACGCTGATCAAGCTGCTGTGCCTCGGAGGTTCGAGCGGACCAAGCCGTATCTTGGACACAGCGCTGTTTGACGACCCCGACTACGAGCCAGGCCTGGTCTCTGGCGAGGCCGCAGGCTATGCGCTCGACCTCCTCACCCACCTCACGTCGACGCCACTCTTCTCGGTAGCAGCGCTGCCGTCCTTGATGATGCCTGGCGGGCGGGCATCGTCGCTGGTTCCGGCCTCGGCCATACCCAATCTGGCCGACGCCGCCCTTGCCTTTGACCCATTGGCGCTCTGGGCGCTTCTCTCCCAGCTGGCCAAGAACTCCGTGCTGCCGATTAATGTCCGCAGCCGTGCTCTCGCCTCGCTGTCTCGCGGGCTCTCGATCGACTTTGGGGAGAGCCGCGCCGCCATCGCCGGCTCACTTGTAGACGATGACGAGCTCCTGCAGGTCATCGCAACAGCGCTGGACTGGGAGGCGGCTCTGGCACACGCCGCTGATGTAGGGTCGCTCACTGAGAGCACCTGCGTTTTGGCACCGGAGCGGCTCGACGCGGACGTCGTCGAGTTTCTGGTCAAGTACGAGGGCATGACCCACACGCCGGCCATTGTCGCCGCCCGTGATAGTGGGACACTCTTATCGTCGTTTACTGTTCCGCCACCAGTCCTGTTCCGCGGCAGCACTGTCGAGTCGCGCCACATGCTCTCAGCCATCCAGCTCGCCATCGCTGCAGCCGATACCATCGCCGCACTCTGGGCTTCTGTCACGCCGTCGAAGCAGGCTGTTCTTGGCAAGTTTGGCAGCCTCCTCATCGATGGTGTCCTCGAGGTCCTGCCCGAGTGCAAGCTCACCGTCCGCGTCCGCGTCGCTTTTCTTCGCGCCGTGGCAGCCATCCATGGTCACACTGCCTTCCGTCCCAACCTCGAGGCGCAAATACTGCGCGCTGTCCTCGACCACCCGCTCGGCTCATCGGAGGAAGGCTCTCGGGTCTCGGCCATGCTTGCGCTCCAGGACCTGCTCCGCGCGACCTCGTTGAACGCAACCAGCGATGCTGCTGGCGAGGTTGGCGGCAGCAGGGTGAACCCAGCCGAAGCTGTGCTTGCGTCGTTTGCGCCCGGCGCGGCGCCCGATCCCGGCGCCGGACTCGCCACTTACGCCGCCCTCACTGCTCGCGCCACGCCGGGCGCCAGCATTGTGCACACTGACATGGACACGGTTGTTATTAGCAGCCCTTACAATGCATGCGGACCGACCCAGATGTCTCTCTGCGTCGGTGACCGCGTCCTCGTTGTTCACCGCGCCTCGGCCATCTGGTGGTACGGCGTCTGCGGCAACCGCCGCGGGTACTTTCCAACGTCGGCCGTGAGCCTCGACTAAGCCATCCTCATAGACAATCGCTTAATATTCCCCTCCCGCATACTATCTTGCAAGCGCTAAACTGATCTTGCCCTGTAAAGCCTCGACCGCCGGCCTTTGAGGCCAGGCCGCACTCCGGTCGATGACACGTTTGCAATTGAAAGGAGGGTTTGGCGGCTGGCGCTGAGGCCAACCAGCCAACCGGCACCCGTCGCCGTTGACAGCCATGGCCGAGGTACGGAGGACCGTTCCCCCCTGCTCTTCCCCCTCCCCCTACGTCCCCCTTGTACACACACACACACACACAATCACTCACTCACTTACTCACCACACACGCACTAAACCTACAGGCCAAGTATCTAAGGACGCTGTGGGCGACGCTGGTGCAAACCCAGGACGCACTGGAGCTGCATGGCGAAGCGTCGTCGGGCGGAGCGGCGGCATTGTCGGCACTGGCAAGCATGGCGCTGACAACGGCAGCAACTGGGCTCACGGCCCCTCTGACAGAGCTGGGCCACTTTGTTGACTTTGAGCTGGAGTCTTCCGTCTCGGCGGTTACCGCCTCGGAGTTTGCGCCAACCGAGGCCCAGGCTGCTGCGCTCCCACCGGTCTCGTTCTTCCCGCTCCTTCCCTACCCGCTCGCTGCTGCGCTCACCACTCTCCTCCCGGATAGCATGCTTCAGGCCGAGGACGACCTGCTGCGACTGCGGAACATCCTCATTCTGGTCGGTGTCCGCCTCAAGCGGGACGGATTTCTCTCGCAGGCGCTCGATGCCTTTCGCGCTGCGCTCGACGTGCCCGTCGGCGTGGAAGAGGTCCAGACTGGGGTGGCCTGGCTGCTGACACAGCGCCCAGCCGCGACGTCGACGTGTTGCCTGTAGCCACCGACAAGCCGTCCGCGTTGCTCTCGATGTGCACCATTCTCTCACAGATGGGCGAGCACGACTCGGCGCTCTCGCACGCACAGGCTGCACTGGGCTGCATCCAACGGGCCTACGAGGCCTTTTCCCCACTCGACATTACCGCCCGTGCTGGCTGGGACGCGTTTGCGGCCGACATGGATCCGACGCGATGGCTGCCGGCGACAGCACCGCCGTCGAACGCGTCGACGCTCAACGTGGCCGCCATCGCTCTCTACAACATCGGGGTCGAGTACGAGTACCTTGGCCGACTCGAGGCTGCGCAGTCGTCTTACGCGCTTGGAGCTGCACTTGCGCGGCATCCCTTTGGTATCAAGGCACCGGTGCTCGATCAGCTACAGAGTGCGCTGGAGGATGTCAAGGCAACGGCGGCAGCAGCAGCGGCCGCGCGGCGTGTCCGAGCTCACTCGGGCCTCTCGTCACGGCGGGGAATGCGAAACACTGCGCGGCCGTCGTCAGCGGCGTCGTCACTGTCATCGACCTCGACGCGTCCGTCTTCCTCGGCACGCGCAGCACGTGCGCGGCGGCCAACGTCGGCCACGCGGACGCCGAAGCCACTGCTGCACAACCCGCTACAGATGAATGCCCAGGCCAACGCGGCGGCTCCGTCGCCGTACAAGGTTGACCTGGTCCGCGAGTACCAGGCCGCCGTGGAGCGACCGCGATCACGGTCGGCTGCGCGGGGTGATGACTCACGCCCGCTGGGCTACTCGCGACCAGCAAGTCACGAGGCCAACGATCGGCGCTCGAGCTCGCAGGCAAGGGCGAGGCCGAGACCACATTCGCGACCGCGGCCGGCGGCACGCCTCGACCCGATCCGACCGGCAACACAGCCGGTTTCGCCGAGTGTTCTCCACGATGACGAGCTCTCGCCGCGGTCTCGTGCGATGCTGGAGCGGGCGATGGCGCTGTCAACCGACTCGGACGATGAGACGACACGATCGGCGGCGTCGCGGATGACACTTGAGGGATACTCGGCGTGGTGCGAGCGGTATGCTGACCAGATCCAGGCCTCGCTGGCCAACGGCAAACCCGAGAGTGATGACGGCGACTCGGTCATGTCGGGTGCGTTTTCGTTCTTACCGGAAGATGTGCTCGTTGCCTCGCACAACTCGGAACGGCCGATTGTGTTCTCGATTGCTCGCTCGGGTGCTCCCTACAACTTTCTGGCAACACCTGCTCGATCGAGTGGTCACGACGAGAAGAGCCGGGAGAGCGGCTCTGATGCCAAGCCGTTGTCATCATCAGCCGAGGCGTCGGGGCGGGGCGCCAAGCCCAAGAGCATCATGAAGCGGACCAAGTCCAGGAGCGGTAGCAAGCGCAAGGGACAACCAGCCTTTGACCGAAAGCACTCGCGGACGACATCGTTTGCACCGTCGACCGGGACCGAGGTGCTCGACTCTGGACGGACACCGCACGTCATCAAGCGGCACTTTCTGTCGATCTCGGACTTTGTGCCACCCGCGGTGATGCGGCAAGACCAGATGCGGCAAAAGAAGGAAGAGCATGAGCAGCTGAACGAACAGAGCCGGATGGAGGAGCTGGTATCGTCGGCCACACTCGAGCTTCACATCCTGTACATGCAGTGCCGCGACCTGATGCCGCGGTCGGGGACGCAGACAAGCACATCGCCGCTCCTCCTCCTCACCGTGTCGGAAGACCGGGTCCGTGATGAGACCGAGGTCCGCAAGGGCACGCTTGACCCGATGTGGCCAGAGCCGCGGGTGTACACCCGCATCTCACCCAAGGATACACTCAGTATCGAGGTTGTCGACTGGGACGCGGCCGACGAGGCGTCGATGTCGCTGGGTGTGATCTCGCTGGCCATGTCGGACATTGAGACCGACGTCCAGCACGACCTCTGGCTCCCGCTTGTTGGCTCCGAGACCGGGCTCCTTCACATTGTGCTCGCGCTCACGACGCCTGACGCACCGGCGTCGGTCCTCTCACGCGATAAGCTCACTGCCAATTTTAACGTCAAGGCCGATCCGGTGCCCATCGACATTTGCCTTGTCGGCGCCAAGGCGCTCGACCCGGACGGGCGTGTTGCTGCGGCCGTCGCCTCGCACACCCAGGCGGTGTGGCGTGACTCTGAGGCTAGCGAGGAGGGAGACAAGACCATGACTCGGCAGGCATCTCTCTCAACCATGTCTGTTGGCTCGCCGGAGCTGCAGGCAGTGGTCAAGGGCTTGGCGGCTACCATCAACCCTTCTGTCGAGCTCATTCTGGCCAACCAGATCTTCTGCACGCCGACGGCGAGCAAGACGGTTGCGCCGACGTGGAACACCAAATTCCTCTCGGACAACGTGCCGCCGACCGAGAAGATCGAGATCAACTGCTACAACTGGCAGACAGTCAAGGAGGGCCCACGCGCTGGCTCCATTGAGCCTGTACTCTTTGGCCACGCCTTTGTGGCGCTACAGCAGCTGAAGCGCAACACGGTCAACGATATCTGGGTTCCTGTTATGACCCCGATGCGCGGCTCGTCATCATCGTCGGGCGTTCGCGGTGAGGTCCGGCTGCAGATCACGTTTCCGCGGACAGCCTCGCTCTCGGCCGCGCTCACATCGGGTGGCTCGGGCGACAATATGTTTGCGACTAACAAGACTCATGTGCTCTCTGCGTCGTCGCACGATCTGGTGGCGGCACGAATCCAAGCCCAGGTCCTGATGCGCGATGGCGCAGCGCCGCAGCGGCGAAGTGACGGCGGCTCGGGCACCGAGTCGGGCTTCCAGCCACCGACACGAGTGGCGTTCAAGTCTGTGCCGAACTTTAACAGGCTCGGCCGGCGAAAGGGAAGCAAGGCACTTGCCCGCGAGGAGGAGCAGCGGCAGCAGATCCTTCTCAAGCAGCAGGAGGAGCGCAAGCGCCAGGCCACCAAAGCTCGCGCCAAGCGCATGGCGGCGGTCCTGGTTATGCAGGCGCACTTGCGCGGCATGGCTGCGCGGAGCAAGATGTATGCGCTCGGCAGCCGCGAGACCAACCGCTCCGAATCTAGCGAGTGGTCGGGCGAGTGGTCGTACGAGGAGGTCTCTATTGACAATTGGACGCCGATGGCCGAACTCTCGGACTCGGCCTCGCTCTCGTCGTCGTCGTTTTTGTCAGACGCACCGGTTGCAGGCGCGGACTTGTCGGGCTCGTACTCGGAAAGTGGAAGCGCCAGCGGAAGCGCCAGCGGAAGCGCCAGCGAGAGCAAGGGCGAGAGTCAGAGCGGATCCGAGGCTGCCTCGGCACTAGGCTCCAAGTCTGCCGTGCTTCCGAGCCGACCTGGCGCACCCGCACCACATGCAGTCTCACCGCTTGATGCTGAGGAGGCTGCGGCGACTCGGATTCAGGCGTCGTGGAGGGGCCACCGCGGGCGGAAACAAGCGCGGGCGCGACGGCTAGTTGGAGGCGGCAAGCAGAGCGCGGGCACAGGCTCAAACGCGGGTTCGGGCCTCCGCCTCGACGTCGGCGCGGGCAATGCGTCGGCCGAAGAGCAGGCTGCGGCACTGGCCATCCAGGCGCGGTATCGCGGGTTTAAGGCGCGGCAGCGGACACGCGCGGCGCGACTCGATGTTCCTGTCGACGGATTTGGACCGGTGTCTGCGCCAGGGAGTGGACTCATCTGTGCTGTCGTTGTCTCGTATCCGCCGCTGCCGGCGGAGCAGCTCGTCGAATACGCATCGTTTGCCGTTGAGTACGAGCGCATTGTCCGTCACGCGCTCGCGCTGCACGTCCCTGGCTTCCTGGTCACCGACTGGAACGAGGCCGTGGGCCTCTTTGCTTCGCCATGGGCCGGCGTTGCGGCTGGTGCCGAAATTGCTGCGCAGCTCCGCGAGGCGTCGATTGATCTCGAGCTCATCGAGCCATTGATGGCGAGCGTAGGCGTGTATTGGGGCGACAAGGCGTTTTTCGCCGACACCACGCTTCCAGGAGTCACACGGTTTTTCGGCCGTGGCCCACTTGTGCACGGACCCGGCATGGTTGCGGCGAGGCAGCTGGCCGGCGTGGCAGAGCTTGGGCAAGTTGTTGTGTCAGGCAGCGTCGTTGCAGCGTACCGCGACGCGATCGACCGTCAGCCGACAGCAGAGCTCGCGCGCGAGCACCCGTTCCTGGCGACGAGTCCCGAATTTGAGGAGAAGCAGTCTGCGCTGCTGGGTGCCGAGAGCGCGAGCTATGGCGTTCTGCTCTCGATTCCGGACAAGGTGCGACCCGAGACCCAGCTGGGCATTCCACAGTCACCGGCGCCGAGCTCGGGGACGGGCGAGCTCGCGAGCTTGCGGATGGTGAGCTCACGATGGGTTGCGGCGGGATCGGACGCTCGCGAGCGGGCCCGGGCCAAAGCGCGGTGGGCGGCGACACCGTTTGTGTGTGAGGAGACGTTTGCAGTTTGTGTCGGCGTCGACACAGACAAGCTGGTGAGCTCTGCGTCGCCGACAGTGGCCAGTGATGCGTGGCATGTGCTCTCGTCACAGGTCCAGTCGACGCTCGTGGCTGCCGGCGGGTCGCTCATCCGGCCGACGACGGCGGTGTTTGCTACTGCCGAGGCCGCAGTCTCTGCAGGCTGGCAAGTCGGTCATTTGTTTGATGAGATGGTGCGCGCGATTGAGTTGCATGGTGCAGGCGAGGCGAGCCCAGGCGCCGAGACGAGCGACTCGAGCTCTGCGCTCCAGCGGATGCACGACTCGCTAGCGAGAGCAGTGAGCAAGGCGAACACGATGTCAGCGCGGTCAGGTGCCGGGGCCAAGGCGCTGCTCGACGCGACATGCGCGGTGGGTGTGGTTTCTGGCTCGACGGTGAGGGCGGCGTCGGCCGGTCTTGTGTGGGGTCCGGCAGTATGGATGGCGTGTGCAGTGGCGCATCACCACCCGCGCAAGGAGATCAGGGATCGGATCGAGTGGCAAGTACCTGTTGTGCTCGGCGCTCAAGTCGCCGCGAGAGTGGGCAAGGCCGCCACCGACGCGCTCTCTGTCTTTGCTCCGCTGGCACTCGTCGAGGATACGCTGCTCGGTGGAGTGGTTCACACCACGGTTGTACCGGAAGAGGTGTCGCTTGTGGCAATGGACCCAGCACTAGGCAGCGGAACAGGCGAGGTGAATCTGCAAGTTGCACTTGTCAATGGCTCACTCAAGGGAGCCAAGGAAGAAGTTGTGCAGATGGGCAACGCAGTTTTTCTGGCCTCACCGCACACGGTCGTCTTTGCCGTCTTACACTCTGACGCACGGCTGGGCAACAAGTCCCGGGTGGTTCTGCACGCGGCGCAGGTGGTCAAGATGCGTGAAATTCTCGGCCCGGTGTGGGCAGCCTACGACTCGACGGCTGCGCTTGAGAACGAGCGGCTTTCGATGGCGGTGTTCTCGTCGCCTCCGCTGGCGCTTGCCGCAGCGCTGGAGGCGTCCAAGCTGGTCTCGCAGTTCAACCTCAAGACCCGTAAGGCGGACGACTTTGAGCTTGTGGTCGGCATTGGGGTTGCCGCGGGCGAGGGGTTGGTCTGCTCGTTTGACGAGGTGCTAGTCGCGGGAACACCCGCCGCGTGTGCATCGCTCCTGGCCGGTGCGTCCAACGGCGAAGTACTTGTGGCCGGCAACGTGCCGGGACTTGTGGCCAAGGCACTGCCACGGATCACATTCCGCGAGCAGCAGCGAGTAATCCAGGCCTCGACCGGGCGCGTGATGGCAAATAGCGATGCGACCAGCGTGGCTGCCAACGATGCGATTGCCATGTTCGCGGCTACGGGAACACTCAAGCGGTACCGGACGTCGCTCGGCGGACCGGTGGCAGGGCGGTCGAGCTCACTGACGGCGGTGGCGGTCCGCGGCGGCAAGCCGTACCTCGAGCTCGTTGAGGTTGTGAGCAGGCGGATGCCGACGCCCAAGTCGGGAGCACCGACAGCCGACGAGGTGCGTGGGGTGGAGAAGAACGTGTGGGGGACGTACGGCTGCAAGGCGGTGTTTGTTGCGGTGGCGCTGTCGATGCCCGCCGCGTTCCACGGACGTGACCGCGTGCGGGCCCGGTTCCAGGTAATGGATAGCGTGAGCGGCGTTGAGGCGGCGGGCGAAGCAATCGGCGTGCTTGCCGGCGGCGGACCACACTCGCGGAGCGCGGGCCCTGTCTTTGTCTTTGGCGATGAGAGGGTTGCGCTCCGTTTCGCGGTTGGCGCCGCAGAAGTGCTGCGCCGGGCTTCGATTCCGTGCGATGGCCAAGTCGGCTCGGTCGTGGTCAGCTCCGGACGAGTGCTGGAGGTGCCGTCTCCGGTGGATCCGTCCCTGCGCGAGTGGATTGGCGAGCCACTGCAGGTTGTGCGCGAGCTTGCAGGCGACTGTGTCGCGCGCAACCGTGTCGGGGTGTGGTTGACACCCGAGGTTGCGGCTGCGTTGATGCCCGAGGGCGCTTCTGGCGCCGACGGCGTGTTCATTTCGCTTGTGGCGGCTGAGGGCGGCGAGGCGTCGGGTGTCGAGGTGGTTCGTCTGGAGGCTGGCGAGAAGGTCATGGTTCTGCAGCGTGAATTATCGCTGGTGAGCGTGGTAGCAGATGCGGACAGTATGGCCGAGCGCGGTGGAGCGTCTGTGACGCTGGGGCGAACGCCGTCGACTGGGCTGGAGGGCAATGGTAGTGATGGCGACGACAGCGACGGTGACGACCACGAGCTCAAGACCGTGCTTGTGCTGGATATGACCGGGTTCATGGAGTATGAGGAGCGGGCGGCCGGTGGCGTACTGGGCTTTGCGGCGCGCATCGTGCAGATGCGGTGGCTGGTGCAGCCGTTGCTGACGTTGTACGGAGCCGAGCTTGTTGTTGCGGACGAGGACAACGTGTTTGCAGTGTTTGGCGAGTCGCATCGGGCTGTGGCGGCTGCGTTGGAGATTGTGCGTCTGGTGGCGATGTTCAACGCGCAAGAGGGCGTGGCGAGCGACCCGAGCCGGAAGGCACAGTTCAAGGGCATCGGCGTGGCCAGCGGCGAGGCTGTGGTTTACGATGAGTTCCGGTCCCGGCTTTACGGAAGGGCCGCCGAGGTGGCGTTCCACCTTGCGGAGCGGGTGGCACACAACGGAGCAGTACTGCTCACAGCCGAGGTCCAGAGCGTTGTACAGAGCGCGACCGCGCTTGGCAAGGTCAACTACCTGGCGCAGACGACGGCGTACGACGGTGCAGCGCTCAAGTACTTTGTGGCCAAGGGCGGGCTGCTCAAGTACTCGGGCTCACTGAGCAAGGCGCTTGGAAGCGGGAGCGACGTAGCGGGCTCGTTTGCCGAGTATGTTGCAGCGCGGAGCAAGGCCGGATCAAGTGATGCACGCGCGGGTCTGGATGCTAGAGCGCGGGCTACGTTTGTGCGACGTGGGTGCGTGCTCGCACTGTCGATGGACCGGCCAGCGCTTGTGAGCTCCAAGGGCGTGTTTCGGTCGATTCGTGAGCTGCACGAGGTGTCTGTGGCGCTGGCGGCGATTGCGAGCAAGGTGGAGGCGGGCGTTCATCATGTGGCGCAGTTCCTTTGGCTGTTTGAGAGCCCGGCCAGCGCGGCAAGTGCTGCACTTGCGATGCACAAGAAGCTGGATAACGAGTTGTGCTCGGCACATGGGATTCGTGTCCGCGGCATAGGCATCGACGCAGGTGAGGTCCTGTTGTCTGTGAACGACGGCATGGCGTGGTCGCGTACGGTGAACGTGGCGCGCAAACTCGCGCGCGAAGCGTGCGCCGGGCTGGACGCTTGTCTGGCGGTGACGCGTGGCGCATTCGAGGCGGCACGAACGACGTTTGGCGATGTTGCCCTCGTCGAGGCACCAGTGACGGTTCTCGGGGAGGAGATGGAGGTTTTCTACCTTCGGAGCGCCCAGGCTTCGGCTGCGGCTGGGATTGAGTCGGTGGTGAGCGGAAGCAACGACGGGTTTGGCGTTGTAGCTGTGGACCTCGGCCTGCTATGCGAAGGTGGGAAGCTCGACGTGGCGCATGCGGTCTCTGTGCTTGCGATGGCACAGGAGTCTGTGGCGCGGGTGGCGAATGCGTACCAGACTCGCGCCGACTGGTGTGGATCGCGGGGCGTGGTGGTTGTGCCCGCGGCCGACGGCGAGCTGTACGACCAGACGTGCGTGGCGGTGGCGTGCGAGATTGTGCGTGCGCTTGAGGCTGTGAGCGAGCATGTGAACAAGCCATCGCTTCTGGTGCGCGGGGCCGGCGTGGGTGCTGTTGTTTCGCCAAACATGGTGTGGGTCCATGGCAGCGCTGGCGGCGGGGCTGTAGAGCGCGCGTGGCGACTCGGTCGCCTCGCGTCGCAGACCGGCGGCGGAGTGGCTGTGGATGCGGCGTTGGCGGCCATGGTCGAGCGCGAAAGCAAGCTCTCGACATCCGGGTTTGGCGAGCTTCAGCTGGCGCCGATGGGCGACGACGCAGTCCGAGTCTCGGGCGTGCTCGACCAGTACCGGGCGGGGCTCCCCGAAGAGGCACTGTTTGCCGGATATGCAGGTGATGTGGGGGCGCTGCGGGAGCTCTCGCTGCGGGATCTCGCGCTGCTGCGGTACCGCAAGGGCGTCGATGTCCGGGCGCTCGACCGGGTCATCCGGGCTGGGTTTGTGGCGTCGGGCGTGATTGTGGACGCGGTCGCTGCTGTGGGGAGCGACGATGGTTCAGCCGGGGAGGTCTCGCGACTTCGGGCGTGGGAGGAGGACGTGTTGACGCGGACGCCATCGCGGAAGGGCGAGCGGCTTGTGGTGAGCGGACCAGGCAAGGCGCTGTGGATCACTCACACTGAAGATGCCGGACACGAGCTCCTCGCACGTCTGGAGACACGAGTCTCGATGTATGACGGGCACGGCCCGCAGTTTGATCTCGGTCCGTTTGAGCGTGTATCGTCGCCGATTGTGATGGCAACGAAGCGCGGGGTTGCGGTTGGCGTGTGGCGCGGCTCTGTCGTGGTCGGCGATGGCCTTTGTCTCGTCCGCGAGCGCTGAATGAAGACGTGTACTTGTGGAAAAGTCACTACTTGTCTCGGGCTAGAAGCGCAGGGCAGCCGTCATAAAGACATAGTACAAACAAGACAGTATGGCTAGCGCAGCAGAGCAAAAGGCGTTTGCCCAGCTTGTGCTTGCCCTCTCCAACGTGGTCCTCACCAATGTCAAGTCACGCGGCTCGGTCGACGTCGACGCAGTGGCCGGCACTCTCCGCGACAGGTTCTACAGCGACATGCCGAGAGAAGGTACGAGGAGAGGAGGAGGAAGGGTTGAAGGGAGGGATGGGCGGGAGAGGGAGGGGGAGGGGGAGGGAGGGTGTGTGTGTGGACGGGGTGGAGGGGGTGGAGGGGGTGGCGGGGGTGGCGGGGGAGGGAGCGACGGACAGGGGTCATTTCTGGTGCATGCATGTGGCGCGCGGCTATGAGTGATGGCCAGGGATGAGTTAGAGGAGATGGGGAGGGTGAGGGACTGATGGGAATGCCTGTATGGGGATGGATAGAGTTTGTGGCGATGCGCGAGTCTGTGCTGGCGGTCTTGCGGCAAGGCGTGGCGGAGATCTGGTCGGTGACGCAGCTGGAGGAGGCGCTGGCACCGATGGATATGCCGGCATATCAGAAGAAGCTGTTTCTGAGAGTGTGGCATCGTCAGCAGGAAAAGATCCGGTTGGTTGTCTCCGAGGCGTCGCGGTTCGGTAACTCGCTGCTGGACATGTCGTGGCGCGTGGACGCGCTGTCGGCGTCCAAGGCGCGCGAGTCGCTCTCGGGTGCGACGTGCATTGTCGAACTTCTGGTCTCGAACGAGAACAAGGCGGCCGAGGCGCGGCGGGCGGCGGCGGCGGCAGCGATCATCCGCGCACGGTCGGACCAGTCTGTCGACGCCAAGGACGTGCCACCGCTCTCGGTCGCGGCCACCCACGACGTCGTCACGTTTGAGATGGACCAAGCGCAGCTGGAGCAGACCCTCCTTCAAGTCCGTGCCATCAAGTCGTTCATCTCATCTCAGACTGCTGGTGGGAGCGCTGCCAGCGCGCCCGATGCTGGGACCAGCGCCGAGCCGGACGTCGATGCTGGTGCCGCCGACGACGAGTAGCAAGCAGTGAGTACATGAATCGCAGGCACAGATGACCCGTAGACGACGATCGACGATGCTCAGCAGTGTGTATGTAGGGCGAATGCGGCATGTGTCTTTAGACGCGGGTGTCAGCATCGTTGCATGAGGTGCTTTACCGGTTTGGCGCGCACGCCACGGCCGCCGCACCTACACCACCTCCTCGCCGCCCTCTTCTCGCCCCTCCCGCCCAACACCCATCTCCAGGGCCCGTGCCCGACTTCCACCAAGCCGACAAGGATGGAGTACACGGTGGACGCTGTGGTGTGCGCGCGGTGGGTGGCGACGACGGGCGGTGTGGTGGAGGACACTGCCGTAGTGGTCTCTGGTGGCCAGGTGGTTGACCTGCTGCCGGCTGCCACCGCTCGCCGGTCGTACCTCGCCAACGAGGTCATCGAACTCCCGGACTCGCTGCTGACGGCAGCATTTGTGGATGCCGGCGCAAATGCCATCGGTCCATCGTCGGGTCACGCACGGCTGTCGGCGGCGCTCGCGGTCATGGCTGGAACGACTACCCTTGCCTCGGCCTGCCCCGTGGCCATGCCGGGCGCTGGAGCTCCCGGAGCACTGGCGGCGGCAGCTGCCACCGAGGGCATTGCTCTTGGCGTGCGGGTCATTCTCGGCCACGAGGTCACGCTTACCGCAACCACGCCTGTCGGCGATGCACTCGCCGCCGCCACCCATGCCGATCTGGAGGCGGACGCTGTGGCAGGGCACATGTTTGTGCTCGCACAGGACGCGCTCTCCGCTTCGCCGCTGCTGCTGCAGGTCGGTGTCCTTGCCAAGCGCATGGGCGCCAGGGTCAAGCTAGTCCTGACGCGGCCCGGTGTTGGTAGCAGCGAGATGCATGCTCTCGAGGCCGCAGGCCTACTCGGCCCGAGCTTGCTCGTTGTCAATCCGTCGCTGCTCGACGACGACGCACTGACTGCGGCCGTCGATGCGCGGGTTGCACTGGTCTACGATCCTGCCGCAGAGGCTGCGCTCTCGTCGACGCGCTTTCCGCTGGCAGAGGTGCTGGCACAGAGCGGACGTGTGGCGCTCACCGCTGGCCCTGGGCGTGACATGCTTGGAGCTGTCCGGCTCGCCGCCCGCCTGAACCCTGGACTGGCGCTTGGCGACATGCTGGCGTTGGGTTGCGCTGGCGGCGCGGACGCGCTCGGAGTCAGCAGCGGGCTCGGCGTGCTCGCACGCGGCATGCAAGCCGACTGCGTTGCATGGCGCATTCCGGCGGCGGCGCTTGTCCTCGCTGACGACGACCCACTGCGGGCGCTCGTCTCGAGTCCGCGTCACCTCATCGGCGTCGCCGGGGTGTGGTCGTCAGGCATTGCCCGGCTCGATTTGGCCAAGGAGGCGCTTACCAGCGCTGCTGCCACCATTTCAGCTCTCGATGACAACTCCGGTGCGAGCGAAGCCACTGATGCACCAGCCTCCAACGTCGACTACGCAGGCATACTCGCGCAGTATCTCGAGTAGGAAGGAGACCATGGATGGCGGGGGGAGGTGGGCGTGAACAAAATTTGGTGCGGAGACCGAAAAAAAATGCTCTGCGACCGGAGCCTCCGAAACAGTAGCAGCGTAGCCAAGCATTGATTGAATCGATTGATGGTCAGTTGCCGTTAACCGGTGGCAGAGCGACGGCGAGTCTTTGGCCACCCAACTCTCAAGTCACATCATGGCCGCCAAGCCGACTGTTGCCGACTACCGCGCCATTGCGCGTGGTTTCCCCTCTTTTAACACCCGTGAGGTCAACGACCTCATCCGCCAGTTCCAGCGTACGTGCCGCAATTCCGCGCTCCCTTCCCCCGCAATCCGCCCCCGGTGACGCTCTCTGTCGTATCCCCCGCCGCCGAGCCACGTTGCCGTTTTCTTGCGAACAATGCCCAGGCGGCGAAAACACAGGTTTTCTTGCGAATGTCCGTCGGCGGTGGCTACGGCAGGTTAGCCATGGCCAGCCGGCGGGCATGCCTGAGCAAACAAGGGCGTGCAGGAAGGGGGGAAGGGGGGAAGAGGAGGGGGGGGCGGGGGAGGGAGAGGAGCGAGACGACGACGACGGAAGGGAGG